TCGCATCTTTGACCTGGGGTGGAAAAAGGTAAAAGTGGATGAGTTTCCACTCTGTGGCCACATGGTGTCAGATGAATATGAAGTGCTCTCCTCTGAAGCCCTGGGGGCTGCCCAAATTTGGGCCAATAAGTACATGATAAAAAGTTGTGGCAAAGATGGCTTTCATATCTGAGTGCAGCTCCACCCCTTCCCCGTCATCCACATCAACAAGATGTCCTGTGCTGGGGCTGGCAGACTCCAAACAGGCATGTAAGGTGCCTTTGGAAAGCCCCAGGGCACTGTGGCCAGGGTTCACATTGACCAAGTCATCATGTCCATCCACACCAAGCTGCAGAACAAGGAGCATGTGACTGAGGCCCTAGGCAAGGCCAAGGTCAAGTTCCACCAGAAGATCCACATCTCGAAGTGGGGCGTTACCAAGTTCAATGCGGATGAATTTTAAGACATGGTGGCTGAGAAACGGCTCATTCCAGACGGCTGCAGGGTCAAGTACATCCCCAGTGGTGGCTCTCTGTACAAGTGGTGGGCTCTGCACTCATGAGGGCTTCCACTATGCTGTCCTTCCTAATGCCCAACAATAAATCCTACTTTCTGTTTACCTAAAAAAAAAAAAAGACACCTCAAAATGACTAAGCATCTACCAGAGCAGTGGCCTCCAATGTTTTTGGCACCAGGAATGGTTTTGTGGAAGATAATTTTTCCATGGACTGGTGCGGTTATGGGAGAGGTGGTGAGGGGGATGGTTTCAGGATGAAACTGTTTTACCTCAGATCATCAGGCATTAGTTAGATTCTCATAAGGAGCACACAACCTGAGTCCCTTGCACGAACAGATCACACTCCTAGAATCTAACGCCACAGCTGATCTGACAGGAGATGGAGCGCAGGTGGTAACGTTCACTCGCCCAGGGGTTGAGGAATGTACCAGAGCACTCTAGCCTTCTGACCTGAGGAATATGATTTTTAAGACAATGGTGTTCCTTTAGGAATTCCAAGGGAGGATATCTGTTAAATAACCATTGAGGTCTCACGATCTGAGTGAGAAAATGAGTATATTCTATACTGTAGATTCTGTTGAGGATACTGTTAAGGAAAATTCCAAATTGTCTCTGAAATAGATCTTTGTAATCCAGGAGTAAAGAGAAGTTATACGTATGCAGCAGAATATCATTTTGATATGTTAATCAATGTAATTTTTTCCAAGAATTGCCTGTGACCCTCTGGCTCTATCCTTTTTGGGCAGTAGGTGATGAAAGATCCACTGCCTTGAGGAAAGTTGACAGAGCAGATTTGTGGCTTTTGCTGTTTTTAAAAATGATGTGGAATCATATCTGATCGAGAAAGACAATAAAGATTAGAGTAGCAACTATCACACTACAGAATAGAAAAACAAAGTTGGTTCTTTGCAAAGATCAATGAAATTGTCAAATCTTTAGCTAGACTTACCAAGAAAAAAAAGAGAGAAGACTTAAATTATTAAAATCAGGAATAAGAGAGGAGACATCATTACTGACCTTATAGAAATAAAAAGAATTATAAGAGAATATCACAAACAATTATGCACCAACAAACTAGATAACTTAACTAAAATGGACAATTCCTAGAAAGGTACAAGTTACTGAAATTGACTCAAGAGGAAAAAATCTGAATACATCTGCAACAAGTGAAGACACTAAATTACTGAAAAATGAAAGAAAAGCCAATGCTGAGATGGCTTCACTGGTGAATTCTGCCAATGATTAAGCCTTAGTTGTGAAAATACTGTCCAGGACCACTTATTTATTCATTTTCTAACAAATATTTGCCAACCTACTGTATGCTAGGTACTTGAAGTACAACACTTGGTTTCATGCTCTGCTGTCACCATCTTGAAATTCTCAACTTTTTGAATTAGGAGTCTGTATTTTTTTTTTTTTTTTTTTGAGATGGGGTTTTGCTCTTGTTACCCAGGCTGGAGTGCAATGGCATGATCTCGGCTCACTGCAACCTCCACCTCCTGGGTTCAGGCAATTCTCCTGCCTCAGCCTCCTGAGTAGCTGGGATTACAGGCACGCGCCACCACGCCCAGCTAATTTTTTGTATTTTTAGTAGAGACAGGTTTCACCGTGTTGACCAGGATGGTCTCGATCTCTTGACCTCATGATCCACCTGCCTCGGCTTCCCAAAGTGCTGGGATTACAGGCTTGAGCTACCAATCCCGGCCGAGGAGCCTGTATTTTTGTTTTGCATTGAATCCTGCAAATTATGTAGCCAGTCCCACAGGGCTGCATTGTGGTCCTATAGGCAAAACTTCTCTGTTGTGTTTCTGAGTCTGGCTAGAGTGGTGATGAATCACCTGGCTCTGGGGCTGGAGCTGGCATTTGAAGGCTCCTTTACTTACTAGACCTGTGGTCTTGAAAGTTCCTCAGCCTCTTGGTTGCTCTATCTGTAAAGTGGGATAATAATAGCATGTATTTCATAGGCTCGCTGAGAGGATAAAATATGTTAATGCATCTGAAACACTCAGAACAGTGCCTGGAACATAGTAAAAAGCTGTGCGATGTTGGATGTTTTGTTGCATGGCTATGCCAAGGTCACATGGCTCTGTATCTTTAGGCAGTGTATCTTGCATTTGGTGGTGAATCTGCCTGTTGAACTGAATTAGTTCTGTAATAGTCTCTGTTCATGAAAAGACTGCAGCAGAGTGAGCAAAGTGGGTGTGGAAGGGAGACCCAAGCTCTGCTTTTGCTCTTCCATGGAGCAGAGTTCCGTGTTAGCTCTGCCTTTTTCCTAACCCCACAGACATCCGCCACTACTTAAAGCCGTGTTTCCCAAAGTGTGGACCCGGATGATTTTAGGTACCACATGGACCCAGCATTAAACAACATTCCATCTCATAGACAGTTATACATGTTTTATATTCTTTCCATCCACTGATTATATATTTAAAAAAGTCTCCACTCAGTGTTGAAACGTTTTTAACAACTCTCACATACTTGTAAATTTTTCCTTTTTAATAAAGAAAAAATGTTGCCTCCTGAATATGAAAGGAAAAAAAAATCAGGAAAAAACAGGCCCAGGGTTTTGAGCCTGCATCAGACCATAGTATCTAGTTGGAATGTTAAACATGATAATGGTCTCATTGTATTTGTTTCTAGGATTAATTTATGAATAGAGAAACTGGCTTTTCCATGTAAGGTAATAATCCAAAGTTTCTGACTGGGAGCAAAATAACATGTGACAGAGTCTAACAGTGTTTAAAAATAAGAAAATATTAGCAAAGAAACACAGGGTTATGGTCAAAAGCAGAATGGAGAGTGTGAGGCCGCTGAAAAACAAATTGGGTCAGTTTAACACCAGTTAGCATCAGCATCACAGAGTATAATTTTCTTCCTTTTTTTTTTTTTTTGTTTTTGTTTTTGTTTTTTTTGAGACGGAGTTTCGCTCTTGTTACCCAGGCTGGAGTGCAATGGCGCAATCTCGGCTCACCGCAACCTCTGCCTCCTGGGTTCAGGCAATTCTCCTGCCTCAGCCTCCCGAGTAGCTGGGATTACAGGTGTGTGCCACCACACCTGGCTAATTTCCAGCTAATTTTTTTTTTCTTTTTGTATTTTTGTATTTTTAGTAGAGACAGGGTTTCACCATGTTGGCCAGACTGGTCTTCAACTCCTGACCTCAAGTGCCTTGGTCTCCCGAAGGGCTGGTATTACAGGCATGAGCCACCGTGCCTGGCCCACAATATGATTTTCATCACAGAAATGTAATACACATTTGGGAAAAAAAAGCAACGTCTAAGCAGTGTCTCCCAGGATGGCAAATGGAAGCGCAGCGTAATATAGCTCAGGATAAGAGCTAGGTAATACAGCTAGGGAGGAACCTCGGTTGAGTAAAGAGGAGTAAAGGAAAGAAGTGTTTTTGGTTTAAGGGAAGATAGAAAATTGCAAGGCTACCTAGTAGGGAACATGTGCATTGTTTAGACATGACTGCGCTCATGCAGACAGCTAAGCATCTTTGTGAGCCTCACCTGTCCTTTTGGTTGCATTTCCAAGGCCTGGACGAAGGCTGAAACTCTGTCTCCTGGTGCCCTGGCTGATTTGGCCTATTGCTTACATCATTCTCCCAGTCTTCATTGTGGAGAGTGAATCAGCAAGTCAGCAGTTTCCTTTTAAAGCACATTTATTTATGTTTTTTAAAAAGTGAATTTAAAATATTAAAGAATCCAGGGGGAAACTGGATTTGTGAAGGCGGTGAAGGCTTGTGCCGTATCTATTAGTTCTCCACCCACCTCCCATCCTCTCTCCACCCACCTCCTATCCTCTCTCCACCCTTCTCTGTCCTGCTCTATGCCCTGGGCCTGTTGATGCCATGTCAATGTGTTATTTGCCCTCTGGCTTCTGTTGGGGGTCCTTAATGGGGAACACTAGCAGGAATGTGGGGGAGGAGGAAGAGTGGAGTCAGAATCTGTGCTCCTGCTCCCTCCCTGTGGGGTTGCTGCTGGCTGGCTGTGACCCTCTGCTGCAGGTGTGCAGCCCCTGGTGCTTCCCCTCCTTCTCTGGCCTCTTCAGGGCTAGGGTAGTAGCAGCTTCTACTGCCACTAGCTTCAGGGAACTGCATTATCCCTGTATTTTCCCCACAAAATACTATTGCAAATAGTCCTTTTGTTAAATTCTTCTCAAATAACCCAGACTAAGCGTACCATCCGTTTTTTGCTGGGATGTGGCTGATATAAGTTTATTTACAAATATCTAAGTCAGGGAAACACTAATCCTGAGGAAATCTATCTGTATTCCGCAAGATCTCTCTGATCTCTCAAACCTTCCAGATAGCCAGAGGAGGTAATGGTCAGGGTTGGTAAATGGTGCAGTCTTCCTCCCCACCCTTCATCCCCTCTCTTGTTCCAAATACTTCTTTCAGTTGCTATTTTAATAGGGATAATGCAATACTGTTTTCTCCAATCCCACAGAGTATAAATTGCAACTTTTTGTAGGTAACAGAATTCGATTCAAGTAAAATAATTAAATGTTTCAGGTACTCCATGAAGTTTTATTTTTTAAAAATTCTTTATTCTATAAATGTTTCTATTGAGTCCTAAGTACAGATGCCCAGGGAGATGAAGCAACTGCAGTTAAGTGTGCATAGGAACACTCAAATGGGTATGCACAGAAGATCAGCAATGGAAACAAGTTCTGTCAATGAGTTCTTCCTCCCCTCCAGGATAGCTAATTATGGGGAAAATAAGAAAGAGCTTTGTCCTTCTCCTTAGTAGTAATGGTCTACAATAAGCTGCACGCACACGTCCCTCAGCACAGCTCCCTCAGAGAAAAAATGCAGGGACATGTGTCTTGCCCACATTAAACTATACACAGGCTATCTTCAGATTATGAGAAACAGTCACACTTGCTTGTAAGTTCACTGGTTCAGGTAAGCAGACCGTGTTTTTACTGTAAGAGAAGAGCAATAAGAGAGCAGGTTCTTGGTTGGTCAGGAGACAGGGCTTGGCATTTGTGGCTTTTGAGTTCCCATGATGTCTGGTGAAAGAAGTCTGTAACCACCTACAATTAAAAGCCAGTTCCTGGCCGGGCGCGGTGGCTCACGCCTGTAATCCCAGCACTTTGGGAGGCCGAGGCGGGTGGATCACGAGATCAAGAGATCGAGACCATCCTAGTCAACATGGTGAAACCCCGTCTCTACTAAAAATACAAAAATTAGCTGGGCATGGTGGTGCGTGCCTGTAGTCCCAGCTACTCAGGAGGCTGAGGCAGGAGAATTGCCTGAACCCAGGAGGCGGATGTTGCGGTGAGCCGAGATAGCGCCATTGCACTCCCGCCTGGGTAACAAGAGCGAAACTCCGTTTCAAAAAAAGAAAAAAAAAAAAAAAGCCAGTTCCTGTGGTCCAAGTGCCCAGGGGTGGTAAGGCTGATGACATAAATGCCTTTAGAGGAAGGGAAAGGGGATGTGGATTCTGGATCCACACCCATGAATGTGACCCATGACACATTTGGAGTGGAGGACATGGAGGAGAAAATATGCAATGAGAAAACTTTGTTCTAATAAAATCTTACATAGAAACCAAATATGTAGAATAAATACGATGGAGTTTCCCCAACCCAAGATGGTCCCACAGGAGGTTCTGGAAACTTTATCACCTCTGCTTCTAAGATGATAATCACCATCACGGGATTGAACCTCAACAGGCAGCACGTCTATGGCCAGGACTGGTCCTTGATGTGTGTGTGTGTCTGGGGCAGAGGTGGATGCTGGGCCTTACCTGTCATGGACAGGCAAAAGAGCGGTGCAGAAATTCCCAACAATGGTAGTCGAGTCTTTTTTCCAAACTCGACTGGAAGACCGCAACTTGAATTTCACCTGGTTTATCTGGCACTGTGGGGTGGCATGGGCTATGATTCCTTTCCCCTGCCACTGCTGCTTAGGGCTGCAAGAAAAGGGGAAAGGGAAAGTAAATGACTGCAGCACTTACTGCCTGTACTTCCGCTTTGGCTCTGATGGGGCTCTGCTGGTGGCACTGGTTGGCTGTCAAGCACCAGGGGGTTGGTTCCTTACCACAGTCCTTTGTGTCACCCTCACCAGCCCATCTGCCCCACACCTACAGCTTTGAATATGACCAAGAAAGTAGTCGTTAGTTTTTTAGAGTGAACAAGTGGACGCTGCAGCAAAAAAGTCACTCTTGGATTTTCATATCTGGAAAAACTGTTCCTCATTCTTGGATTCCCAGCTGGAGGAAACCTTCACTTGCAGATCCAATTACCCAGAAGTAGAAACCTCTTTTAGGACATTTATTTTCAAAGAATTTTGTGTAAGAACTACTTTGTTTTAGGCTAGGTTTGAATGTGTGGGTGGAACCAGCAACAACAAGAAAACAGATCATGAAGCACAGACAGAGCTGCGTGGAACCCAGCTTTTGTCTTTCCAGCTGTGTGGCTTTGGACGAGTTACCTAACCAGGAAAGGTGGCTGTGGAGTCACACAGCAACTAGGTGTAAGTCCCAGCTTTCCTACATGCTGCTATGAACTTGAACCACAGGGTTTGGTTCATTCTGATTTCAGCCTACGAGGCTCAGAGTGAAAACAGCATCCAGTTCTCTCTTAATCCTCCCTCTTGGCTTTGCCTCTCAGATTACCAACCTGTTTAAAGATTCAGGCACCACCTTGGAATGAGACAAAGATAAGGGGGAGCATGAAATGATCCGCCTAGCAGGGTGCTTTCCAAAGGGCTATGGTACCCCCTAGGTACTAAGTACCCAAGACAAAAGCAAAAAATCATGAGATTTTCAGTGAGGAAAGTCTTCATGCTGGGTGCAAGGCACAGCCCAGCCAGCAGAGACTGAGGGTGTTGAGTTGGGGATCAGGGAGGGTGCCCAGCAGGGTAGCACTGTACAGCCCTGGGGTTGTGTGTGTGTGTGTGTGTGTGTGTTGGGGGGGCGGTGTTTGGAGTCAGTTTAGTTTAGTTTAGTTTTGGATGGACTTTCTTGTTGCCAAGGCTGGAGTGCAATGGCGCAGTCTCAGCTCACTGCAACCTCTGCCTCCCAGGTTCAAGTGATTCTTGTGTCTCAGCCTCCTGAGTAGCTGGGACTGCAGGTGCCTGCCACTATGCTCGGCTAGTTTTTGTATTATTAGTAGAGACGGGGTTTCTCCATGTTGGTAGGGCTGGTCTCGAACTCCTGACCTCAAGTAATCTGCTCACCTCAGCCTCCCAAAGTGCTAGGATAACAGACGTGAGCCACCGTGCCCAGCTGGTGTCTATTTTTTAAAGCTCTTCAGGTGATTCTAACATGCAGCCCAGGCTGTGGGTCATTTTCGTTACTCTTGGCAGTGTTGCTGGACCTACCAATGGGCTAGAAGATTATGAAAACACCTTTCTAGAAGTAGCACAACCTTGAGCTGATCTAATGAAAGGTACGCAGCTAATTGATAGCCAGTCACAAATCTGCCAGGCCCCGTGGGCACCTGCAGGCCTGTGTTGCAATCCCAATGGCTGTACCTAGCTGAGTGTCCTTGGGTGAGTCGGGAGGAACCCCAGCTAGTAGCTGGGGTTTGAGAGCGAAGAAGTGTGCTCCTTCCAGCAGAAACTTGTAGTGCCTCCTAACAGGGTTCAAGTTCGACATCCCAGCCTGAGAAACATATCCAAACTCACATCTGATCTCATCACTGTCCTGTTTAAAACTCCCAGTGGCCCTCCAAACTACTCTTAAAATAAAAACCTGTCCTTCAAGGCCTGTCAGAGTCTGGCCCCGACTTGCCTCTCCAGCCTCACACCATCCCACAACCCCAAATCTGTGATCCAGACACACCAGAGGTGTCACATTCTCCCTAAACCTGGCCTGGGTAGTTCCTGGAAAGCCTTGAAATCTCTGCTCATCATATCCTTAGCCTCTGTCATACTCCGTCTTCTGTGCTGTCACTCTTAGGGCATTGCTCACACATTCATGTGTGCACTGGTCATTTCTCTGTTTGCTCTGGATTGATCTATTCCCCTGCAGTTTCCCCCACCAGCAGGTTCCAGCGAGGTCTAATCCGGTGGAAGCAAGCTCAGGTGAGCAGCTGCTTTGGGCAGGGATTCCAGGACTGCAGTTCCCATGGGTTCAGCTCCTGCCAAGCAGCCTACCCTGTGGACCCAGCTTTTCCAGTATCATCCCTGCTCTGTCCCTCTAGCCCTAGGGTGGTAGTGGCTCATTGCTCCTGTTGTTAGTAATCTCTGCATTGCTTCCTCATCTCTCTTGCAGTTTTCCAGCTCATCCAACACACTTGTAATGAGTGCGCTCTGCTAAATTCCTTCTCTTAGACCATCTCTGTTTTCCTGACTGGACCCTGACTGAGACGGTGACATTATCTGACAGTGCCTCCTGCTAGCTTGTGAATAAGTAACCAGCTGCTTTTTAAAGAAGCATGCACCATGGCTGCTGACTTCCTATCCCCTGCAGGCTGTGGCTCCCTACAGTTGGGGTTCTTTGCCCTCTCACTGCAAGCGCGGTCCCGCCAGTCCCTAAGCCCGTCTTTTTTTGGGAAGGGAATGATTAGCCCAGTTCCAGGAATCACCCAGCACCAAGCCCTCCTGGCCACTTGTCTGGCCCTCGGCTTGCACTCGTTTGCTGACTGACCCTGTGCCTCGGATTCTGTTCTGGTAACTGACCTAGAACTGCTCCCCTTTCTCAGGACTGGGTGCTCTCCAGGCTCTGGCTAGCCCACCCTGGGCTAGTGACTGAGGCCCAGGAGGGCCTACTGACATCCCTGATACTCATACTGCCCGGATTCCCCAGTGCTGTTTCCTCTCGGGGACCTGATTCCTATGTCCTCTCCACCTGCTGGGACGTGCCATTCCTGCTGCCTGCCTGCCCTGCCTGCTCTCATCTGAATTTGCTATACTTGGACCTACTACTGAGCAGCTCCCAGCATGTGCCTGTGGCTGGATCTACAGTAGGTGCTGCCCCCAGCCCAGCTGGCTGGGCTCGTGCATCAGCAATCACACAGTACCTGACCTGGGATGTCCATGTGTGTCAAATGAAAAGGTAACCAACTCCTAAGGGGAGGGGTCAGCCAGGTGGGACACTTACGTACATGGTGATCATAACCGAGGAGGTGATGTTACTGCTAAGGAGGGTAACCTTGATGTTGGTGTCCTTGTTTCTCAGTTCCTTCATATGAAACTCCACCAGGCTGTGATGCGCTAGGAAACCAAAGCACAACAGAGACTGGGCCCAAGGGCAGAAGGCACAGAGAGCAGCAGTGAGGTTGGGAATCTTGGCTCCATCTCTTAGTATCTGTGTGCCCAGGAGCAGATTATTTATAATCTCAGATCCTCAGTTTTCCCAAGTGTAAACTGGGGACAATAAAAATAGATACCCTAGAGGTCTGAAATAAATGGGTTAATAGGTATGAAGTCCTCAGGACAGTGCCTGCGCCTAGGAAGCCTTCAGTAACATTAGTTTTTGTTATTTTGTAATACTAATCTTTCACTTCCCCTTGTTTGGTGACATTTTCATGGTGGGATGATCTTAGCCCAAAAGCGTCCGTCATATGCAGCTATCCTTTGAATGTTTGTGTCCTCTCCAGATTCATGTTTAAACTGAATGCTCTGTGCAGCAGTATTGAGAGGTGGGGCCTTTGGGGGAAGGGATTAAGTCATGAAGTCTCTACCATTATGAACGAAATAGTGCCTTATAGAAGGGCTCAAGGGAACTAGGCAGGCCCTTTTTTACTTTCTGCTGTGTGTGAACTGTGTGTGAACACAGTGTCTGTCCCCTCTGGAGAATGCAACAGCAAAGCACCTTCTTGGAAGCAGAGAGTGCAACCCTAACAGACATGGAACTCCAGCGCCTTCATCTGGTACTTCCCAGCCTCCAGAACTGTGGGAAAATAGATTTCCGAGTTTTGTAAGTTACCCAGTCTCAGGTACTGTGTCATAGTAGCACAAAGAGACTAAGACATAAGAATTAACTCATAAGGCTGGGCACAGTGATCCCAGCATTTTGGGACTCATGCCTGTAATTCTAGCACTTTGGGAGTTGGGCGGATCACCTGAGGTCAGGAGTTTGAGACTAGCCTGGCCAACATGGTGAAACCCCATCTCTGCTAAAAATATAAAAATTAGGCAGGCATGGTGGTGAGCACCTGTAATCCCAGCTACTTCAGAGGCTGAGGCAGGAAATCACCTGAACTCGGAAGGCAGAGGTTGCAGTGAGCTGAGATGGTGCCATTGCACTCCAGCCTGGACGACAAGAGTAAAACTCTGCCTCAGAAACAAACAAAAAAGAATTAACTCCTAAGATATAGCAACAGCCCTGCTCCCCACACACCCAGCATCAGGGAAGCAGGCTGTGTATGTGGGAAACTGCTCCCCTCCCTGCAGCCACTGGTTGCCTATGTGGTATCTAGACTCTCCCTTGAGCAGTGTGGATGCTGGAGCTCTCAAAGTGAGTGTCGCCAACACAGACTGGGTGTACAGCCTGTGCCACGGTGATACCCCTGGGACCTGCTGTCCCTCTGGCAAGAGAGGGTAAGAAAGATTACAGACCAGGCATGGTGAGAGATGCTTGAAATCCTAGTACTTTGGGAGGTTGAGGTGGGCTTATTGCTTGAGCCCAGGAGTTCGAGACCAGCCCAGGCAATGTGGCAAGACCTCGTCTTTACAGAAAAAACAAAAACAAAAAATTAGCCGGGCATGTGGTGTGTGCCAGTGGGAGGATCACTGAGCCGAGGAGGTTGTGGCTGCAGTATACCATGACTGTGTCATCGCACTCCAGCGTGGGTAACAGTGGGAGACCCTGTCTCAAAAAAGAACAATAAAAATTTAAGAAAAGCCAGGCGCTGTGGCTCACATCTGTAATCCCAGCACTTTGGGAATCTGAGGCGGGCAGATCACCTGAAGTTAGAAGTTCAAGACCAGCCTGGCCAACATGGTAAAACCCTGTCTCTACTAAAAATACAAAAAATTAGCCTGGCGTGGTAGTGGGTGCCTGTAATCCCAGCTACTCAGGAGGCTGAGGCAGGATAATTGCTTGAACCCAAGAGGCAGAGGTTGCAGTGAGCTGAGATGGCCCCACTGCACTCCCACCTGGGCAATAGAGTAAGATTCTGTCTCAAAAAAAAAAATTTAGGAAAAGAAAGATTACAGTTTTCCTAACAAACTGTCCTTTCTTTATTAAGGGGTAGGTGCACCTGGTGGCATTTTGCAATCACTTTAGTCTCAGACATTTTTTCCCAGGCTCCTTTGGTGATAGGGACATAGCTTTGCCTCTCCTCTACCTGTACTTCTTCATGTGTCGTATTTTATCGGCTAATTTTGGGGAGGGGAACATAAACTTGATGCAGGTGAACTGAACACTAAGTTGGAGGAGTGCTATGGCCCTTCTGCGCTCCCTGGGGCTAGTAACAGGGCTCACCAAAAGGTGTCAAGATGCCAAGAACCCATGAGAAGAAAAGAGTCTTGCATGCTTCCCCTCCATGGAGGAGGACATCGGACACCACACCCCTCTGACTCTCCTTCTCAATTGTTACTATGGGATGTCAATTGTTATGGGGATAGGCAAGAGCTGAACTGGAATGGATGATATTTGCAATGTGGAAAAAATAGCTAACTTACATAAGTTTTTGGAGTTTAATTATCAGGGCTGAGTTCCCTATATTATATTATTAATACTTCTTTCTTTGCTAGCAGGCATCATTAAGAAAGTTTTCTAAGATTCTGTGGTAGGTAACGGCTGTCTGCGCAAGGGTCATTTTGTTGCTGGGAAGGGATGGCCCTTGCCCACGGTGTTAGTGGTTAGCAAGATGAACAAAGATGCTCAGATGACTGCAGCGATTAACCAAAAGTTGATAGAAACTGGAGAAAGAGAATGCCTCAAAGAGTTGCCAAGAGCTAAATTAACTGAATGTGGCTGGAAGGGTCAATTGAAGTCACACTGTAAAGAGGTAATTAAAGAAAAAGGGCTAGAACACGTTACTGTTGATGACTTGGTGGCTGAAATCACTCCAAAAGGCAGAGGCCTGGTACCTGACAGTGTAAAGAAGGAGCTCCTACAAAGAATAAGAACGTTCCTTGCTCAGCATGCCAGCCTTTAAGGTTAAATTAGATTGTGGTGGTTTTATTTCTGAAAGTAAAACTTGCTGTAAATTAGAATACAGTTTCCCAAAATAAAATCCTTTTTTGTATGATGGTATACAGTTTTCAGTAATGATGTGTACATTGTATTGATTTTTCCCCTAAATGTGTTATTTTGATAAATAGCTCATGAATGAAAAAAACAAACAAGAAAACAGGTTCTTGCTCTGTTGCCCAGGCAGGAATACAATGGCACACTCAGCTTACTGTACCTTGAACTCCTGGGCTCAACCAATTTTCTCACCTCAGCCTCCCCAGTAGTGAGAACTACCCATGAGCACCATCATGCCTGGCTAATTGTAAACAATTTTTATAGAGACAGGGTTTCACTATGCTACCCAGGCTGGTTTCAAACTCCTGTCCTCAAGCGATCCTCCCACCTTGGCCTCCCAAAGTGCTGGGATTACAGACGTGAGCCATTGCGCCTGGCCTGCTTCTTCCTTTGCTAAGTTACCCTGGAGCCCCCAACGGAGCCAGGCCTAATATTGGGTGGGTGGGAATTGGTAGTGAAATCAAATCTGCACAGGAGCATGTCTCATATCGTACGACACAGAGTCCTGGGTGGCTGGTCGGGAGGCCTGGATCCAAGGCCCAAGCCTGCTGCTTACAAGCCATGCTGTCTTGCTGAGACACTGAACCTCTTTGTGCCCCAGTTCCCTCATCTGCAAGCAATAGTCCCCAACATTATCACACAGGACATGGAAAGGATGGAGTGAAGTAATAGAGAGAAGGTACATTGTGTGAAAAATCATTCTATGAGGGAAAATATTGTTTATAATTATATTACTTGGTAGAAGATCCTCTGCCCATGCTGGTGCATGCTCAGCACAGGTCAGCATTGCTGAAGTAGACAGTGAGCTGATTGTGCTAGGCGGAGGGTGCTAGGCGTGGGAGCCCAGGGCCGTGATGTCCTGAGAGTGGCTGGAGAGCTGCTGGCCCCTACCCCCTCCTGAACATACCCATATCTGTCCAGGGAGAGCAGGGAGGACCCAGCTTTCATCCCTAGAAGTGACAGCTCAGGCAGGGAGGCCTGTTTCTGTGCCCCTCTGCGGTGTTGGAACAAACAGGGCTCTGCTTCTGGGAGTGTGGGGAGGTGGGCTCAGAGCAAATATGAAACAGTCAGAAAAAGTGTGGCTCTGTGAATCCCTGCTTCTAACCTCCAGGCATTCCCCACACGTTCCTGCTAGGTGTATTCTTAGCTGCACAGACACAGAGGCGCCAATTCAGGTTGCTGTGAACCTGCTCAGTTCAGGTTACAGTTTCCCTAACACACTGTCCTTTCTTTATTAAGGGGTAGGTGCACCTGGTGGCATTTTACAATCACTTGAGTCTCAGAAATTTTTCCCAGGCTCCTTTGGTGATGGGGAGTGGACCTTAACCAGGAGTGGACCAATTCCAGCAGCTGGAATTTGAAGTCAGGATGTCTGGTCTTGGCAGTACCACCTCAACCACCAGACAAAACCTTCTCCCACATGCTGACTCTGTGATGGGGTGGCGCTGACAGAAGGAAAGCAGAGAAATATGGCCTGCAGACAGCATGTTCTGAGAAGGTGGAACTGTGGTGGTGGCAAGGAAGGAGTATAGATTTTGGAGTCAGAAGACCTGGAGTTGAGTTCTGACCTTTTCACCCAGCTGCGGAGCCTTGGGCATGCCACTTGGTCTATCAGAGCTTCCCTTTCCTTGCACCTTCCTCTCCCAGTTGGGTTGTCAAATGAGCTGATACGGATGTGAAAAGCCCACAGTTGATTCTGTAGCCCACTTTGTTCCTAAGAGCTAGCCATAAATTTTCTCTGGCATGAAGGTAGAAACACCCTAACTATTCTTCTCCCAATTCTCTAATTGGCTAAGGGAAGGAAATTATTACTGACTGGGTTCCAGTCCCTGTGCTAGTGATCTCCTGTGTGCTATTTTATTTTATACTCACAGTTGATTCTTTGAAGTAGGTGGTTATGGTTCCCATTTCCACATGAGGATATTGAGTTCCGAGAGGTTAAAAAACTTGCTCCTGATCATACGGGTGGTAAGTGGAGAAGCTGAGATTCGAATCCAGGTCTGGGTGAGCCCAGAGTCTGAGCTCTGGGCTCCATATCACACATGGTACCAGGTACCAGGCCTTCTAGTACCAGGAAGATATTGTCACAAAGATCCCTCCACTGACCCCACACAAGCTGATCAGAAAATCAGTTAAAATTGGGTGGCATATAATTTATAATCCAAAGCAGCATACTTCATCCTGTACACATGATAAAGCAGACAGGACCCCAGGACATCTGGCATAAACCAGGAAGTATAGTCACCCTCGTTAAGATGCACATAGCATAGGGAAGGATGGTGGTTCAGTTTGTAATGTATTTCATGGATTCTAAGACACATTTTTCATTCACATCTAACATTGTTACAATCACCAGCATCTTTACTTCAAAGAAATGCCGTGGTTAGGAATGACAGTGAGAAGCTGGAATGCATCTGTGAAGGGGAAGGACAGCAGAGGGAAAGGTTCAGTATTCCCCGGGGACCTTGGAGGCTGCCAAGGTGAGAACCACATAGGGTGGGCGCCAAGGAGTGAGAAATGGCCAGAGGACAACCCTAAATGCCACTCTAGAGAGAAGGCCCCCTGGAAGATAAATTTTGAGGTAGGAGGAAACAGGCTCAGTAGACAATGGTAAGAAACCCCCAGGTTCTCATCTGAAGAGCAACCGGTTGGACTCACTCTGAAAGTTTTGATTCAGACCAGGGACTGTTGCCCCACCTCCAGTGATACCTTTTCCCTTGTTGTTCACTCCCACCCAGCCTACCACACTGGGCTGGGCACAGCCCTAGCCAGAGCCCTGGACTCCTTGGGCAGCACCCTGGCAGAGCTAAGCTCATGCATTTCCCCCTACTCACTGCAGTACGGAGCACTAGAAGTGGTTAGGAGGTAGACTTTCACTTCCTTGGGAAGCGGCTCTATCTTGACACCACCTTGTATCACCAGTCCTGGAAATAAAGAAGCAAAGATAGCAGAGTCCTGAGAAGGCTTTCTTAGGGTCCCAAGCCCCCAGTCACATGTTTATTAATTCATGCACTCAGTTATTCCACAGACATCTACATTGTACACTCACTATGTGCTGTATTCTGGGGTGAGTCCTGGAATACCAGCAATTCAGTCTAGTGGGCGGTAAACACACACATAAACAGAAGTACATTTTTCAGATCATCTGACTCATTATTTGCAAGTAATTATAAGAAATCTGAAGGGCCGGGTGCAGTGGCCCACGTCTGTAATCCCAGTACTTTGGGAGGCCAAGGAGGGTGGAGCATGAGATCAAGTGATTGAGACCATCTTGACCAACATGGTGAAACCCCATCTCTACTAAAAATACAAAAATTAGCTGGGCATGGTGGTGCATGCCTGTAGTCCCAGCTACTCGGGAGGCTGAGGCAGGAGAATCGCTTGAACCTGGGAGGCGGAGGTTGCAGTGAGCTGAGAGATTGTACCACTGCACTCCAGCCTGGCAACAGAGCGAGACTGTCAAAAAAAAAAAAAAAAAAAAAAGAAAGAGAGAGAGAAAGAAAAAGCAAATAAGAAAGAGAGAAATATCTGTAACTATATCTCTAACTTGCAAAACCAATCTCCTATAGCAGTTGTTTTCATGACACTTACATCCCATGCAGGAAGTGTTTGACCTGAAGACTAGTGGATGGCAGTGGGGAGAGGGCATTCTGAGAAGACAGTATAGTTAGGACAAAGGCACACAGGTGAGGAAGCCCGAGGTACACTTGGAAGTACGAGCAGTTAGCACCACTGGGAGTTTAGTGCAAGAGAAAGTGTAGTGAGAGATGATGCTGGGCAGAGAGTGTGAGGCCATTGTTACATCTGCGGGTCCATGACATCTGGGGGAAACTGACATATGCACAACGAGTAGGAAATAATGTTGGCTTGTTCTATCATTGGAAATGTCCCACTTTACTATTTTATCAAGCTGATACCCATTTCACTCATATAAGCAATGATAGGCTGCTGCCATTGAGTGGCAGACAGGGGTAGTGGGAAGTAAGAGAGTGTGGAAGGGAGAGAAACCCTTTCTACCACCCAGGAGTTTTTCCTGGAGCTCTTCATCCTGGATAACCACAGCATATTCATAGCAGTAGTCTGCACAAATGAAGTAGAGGATAGATCCTGCAATCTTCCTGGCATCCTTTCCCCAGACTGGTCTGGATCATCCAGGAAGGTGTCCAAGCCCTTCAGCGACTAGACATCCCCCCAGCTGCCATGACATTTCAGACCTCTAATGTGGATCTTGTGTTCCACTCTTAGGGATTTCCCACCACACAGAGATTTAGGGTCTATGAAGAACTGAAGAATGACCAGAAGTGAAAAAGACGTATAGACAGCATCTGGTCTGAGAGTAGGGGGACCTGAATGTGGAAAGGGTGGGTGTGGAGCAAGGATGGCCATAGGGAACACTATAGAGGGTGAGGAGTGGGGCACGAGGACCAACCGCCCACCTCCAAGTAAGAACAGGCTGAGCACCTCATCGCTTAATTTTCCTTTCCTCAATTGGAGAGAATTCTTGACCATAGGAGATCAGGACATTAGGAGGGGACAACTAGCAGGGCTTGAATTTTCCCCACATTGTCAAAGGAAGTCAAAGGGGTAGGATTTTACCTATCCTTGGGCAGGAAAGCAGAAAAGGGTTAAAGCAATCCAGACAGTGCCCGGCAAGGAAGGCCTTGTAGCTGGCACAGGGAAAGGCCATCAGTGGACAGGAATTCTCCAGGACGCTGATGTAGAGGTCCACAGCCCTCATGTGATCACAGAGTAGATAGTGATAACCTGAACAGAGAAAAAACACAACGCAGGTTCCGGTAAAGACAAATGGAAACTCCCCCATGCTGCTTACTGAAACTCTTGCATTTTATATTCCAGTAAGTCATAAACAGATATGTGGGGGTTCCCTCAAATCACTTTTTAAAAATATTAATGCATGGCCAGGCGTGGTGGCTCAAGCCTGTAATCCCAGCACTTTGGGAGGCCGAGGCAGGAGGATCATGAGGTCAAGAGATCGAGACCATCCTGGTCAACATGGTGAAACTCCGTCTCTACTAAAAATACAAAAAATTAGCTGGGCATGGTGGTGTGTGCCCATAATCCCAGCTACACAGGGGGCTGAGGCAGGAGAATTGCCTGAACCCAGGAGGTGGAGGTTGCGGTGAGCCGAGATTGTGCCATTGCACTCCAGCCTGGGTAACAAGAGTGAAACTCTGTCTCAAAAAAAAAATATTAATGCACATGGTTACTATATTCTACTTTTTCACTTTATTTTTCCTGAGATACGTAAGCATAATTCATCAAGAAAACTGCTTGATTTGAGATGTATTCTTCTTCTTTTTTTTTTTTTTTTTGAGATGGACCCTGTCACCCAGGCTGGAGTGCAATGGTGAGATTTCAGCCCACTGCAACCTCTGCCTCCTGGGTTCAAGTGATTTTCCTGCCTCAGCCTCCTGAGTAACTGGGATTACAGGTATGCACCACCATACCTGGCTAATTTTTGTATTTTCGGTAGAAAGAGGGTTTTGCCATGTTAACCAGGCTGGTCTCAAACTCCTGACCTCAGGGATCCACCTGCCTCAGCCTCCCAGAGTGCTGTGATTACAGGTGTGAGCCGCCATGCCTGGCCTTGAGATGTATTGTTACATGATCATGCAGATTCTCCTTCATAAAATGGGAATATATACAGAGTTGATGATGGATGCTGTCCCTCTTCTCAAAATGGATATTTGTGCATATTTTTACCTTCTTCATCACCAACCATACAACCAATTTTTACAACCTCATTATATTCAACCCAGCAGTGAGACAGTCAAAGGCATCAGCAGCACTTGATGGTCACTGTCTACAGCCGATGTGCTGAGGCTCACAGGGCCAAATGACTGATATGCAGAATTTGCCAAATATCCCAATTTAACAAAACTTGGTTTCATTGTTGTTTACTATTTAAGTTTGCAGCAACCAACACTGGGTAAATCGGCTGAACCTAAGAAGTGTGTGGTGAGCTACAACTCCAGGGTCCTGGGGTCTTCAAACTCTCCCTGCACCTTGAGACCCCATTGCTAAGACCTGCAACCAAGGCCGAGATGTATTTCGACTTTCCTCCCCCACCACCGCCCTTGATTGGGAAACTCTCTATGGCCAAGCTCCTTCTAGCTGCAACAGGGAGCTGGGGCAGAGACAAACCAAACGCTTCTCAAACTGTGTTATGAAGAAAAAATGAAAAGTGGTCAACTGAAATGCCACCAAATCTTCAAAAGCCATTGAAACCAAACAATCCTATTTTATATAGAATTGCTGACAAATTTATAAATTGCAAAAAGAAGCATGTTTTTGGAAACTAGTAAATTTGGTAAAATAGATTAGTAGTTATTTAATAAGATTGTTAAAGGAATCCTTAAAATGTTATAAATTTGGTAAATCAGGAAAAGACTAAAAACACAATAAACAGAAATCAGCATTTTAAATTTTTATATGAAATGCTGATGTATTGACTATATTCATAAGATATAAGAAAATCAAATAATGATTGGTCTTAGCTTTTGACAAATTTAGTATTAAAGTAATGCTAAGAACATACCAACAAATACATGAAAAAGAACCTTCCAGAAGGCTATATTTAAAGAGAGGAAATGTATAGTCATTGAATGTACAGTCCTTTCCCCCCGATTGAGGAAAAAAAGATCATCTTGAAAACAATTTTAGAGAACTGGTGGAGTTGGTAAGTGTGGTGAAATGACTGTGCAGTGAATTGATCCTTCTGCTCACTAGCTTTGGGCACAATGGCTTGCTTTGGCCACAGCAAGGCTCTGTAGAGGATGCACCTGTTGTGGACTGTGCCTTATGCCACACCCTCCCCTCAAACGCCTGGGCTCTGAAGATATCCATCCTTGAATACACACTGAGGAAGGCATTAGGAGACATAGCAAAGGACACAGTCAAGCAGACCACCTGTGGTCCACTCTGGCTGATTCAGCACAAAGGCTGTTGGTGAATTCCAATCTCTGGGGTTGCCAAATACCAACTTTCACTGGCTTTCTGACCTGCGTGAAGGAAGGTAGGACAGCCAGGTTGGTCTTGGCCTCCATTGACGAAGTAGTCCACGTGTCCAACAGGAATCTGAATACCCAACTCTGAAAGGAGGTAGAACTCCGTTAACTTCCTTACTTCAGAGCATATTCTCCAGGTCCCACAGCAGGGTTGGCTGGCAGCAGAGCTGAAACTCTGACCTCGGGAGCCCACATCCTCTGCCCACATCACTTCTAAGTGCTGTGAAACTTCACAGGATGAGCCCTCAAACAATTTTCTTTTTTCCTTTTTTTTTTTGGAAGGGAGTTTCGCTCTTATCACCCAGGCTGGAGTGCAGTGGTGCCATCTCGGCTCACTGCAACTTCCATCTCCCGGGTTCAAGTGATTCTCCTTCCTCAGCCTCCTGAGTAGCTGGGATTCCAGATGCATGCCACCACGCCTGGTTAATTTTTGTATTTTTTTTAGTAGAGATGGGGTTTCACCATGTTGATCAAGTTGTCTGGAACTCTTGACCTCAGGTGATCCACTCACCCCAGCCTCCCAAACAGTTGTCTAAAGGGGTTTTTCATGATAAAAGGAACCAAAGAGATTCAGCTGGTAAGATGCTCATATTTGCTTAAGCAAATCAAGAAAAATACCCTGTGAAACAAGTTTTGGTAACTGAGTAAATGTTATAAACTTAGTAAATTTCTTCATTGAGTAGTTTCGGTTTTCCTTTGAGTAATAGTTCAGGCAAACTTGTTTGGAGTCACATTTCCACAGTCTCCCCCAAACATATCTTTGTGCTCTCCTGACTAGGTGGAAATTGGACGTGGCTCCAGAGCTGAGGTAAGAGAGCATCCTCTGCCCTCATTCTGCCCCTGTGACCAACTCCTGGACCCTCCACTATGGCAGACTTGAGCCCTCAGACTGGCTCAGGCCCAGCTACTGAAGACCCCGACTTTCTCCTTCCTAGCATCTGTCACTATTAGAACTACTGGAAGAAGTTGATTTGTATTATTTACTTGCTGCCGTCGACCTGGAGGTTTAGCATTATGATAAAACTCCGCACTGCGCAACAGAAGCTCAGAGAAGAGCACGGCATCTCTGCCCAGGGCCATGCAACTAGATGCCAGCCTCCTAGGCCCTGCCTTGAGCTCATTCCCTCGCCCTAGGAAGGTCACCCCAGCTCACTGTCAGTGTCTGTGTGGATGGCTTCCACGAAGAGGGCGTCTCCGGCATCCAAGCGCTCCTCCACACTGGCCCTGGTGTACTCAGGTCCAGCGGGGTCCAGACCTGTGAGGAGAGACTTATGTGAGGGACCCCTTTCCTCTCAGCTGCAGAAACACTCATGGACCTATCATACACCCACCCCTTCCAGTGCAGATCGTAGAGCCTCCCTGAAAAGACCCAAGGGTTGGGAGAATTAGCTGAGGATCATCTTCCTCAGGAAACCCCCCTCTCTCTTGTCTTTCTAGGGGGAATCCCTCAATGACCCAGTTTCTCTGGCTCTAAGATGAGCTTGATAACACCAATTGTCTGATAAGAGTTAATGAAAGTAATACTAACCTTCATGTAATAATAACAACAGCTACAATTTCTTTGAACAGTTACGATGTACCGGGCCTTCCTTATGCTGTGCAGTTTGACACACTCTAGTCCCCACCACAACACAGTGATTACTGTGAATATGACTATTCCCATATCTTAGTTTGGATCCCTTCCCTTCCCCCTACAACAAGCAGACCCTGCCACAAAAGTTCAAGGTAGATTTGGGAGAAAGTCTCAGAAAGCATGGTGAGGGAGTGTGAAAACAAGTCAGGGAATAAAGGAAAATATTCACGAGTATGGGCTACTGACTCCCACCCCATTGGGGCCCCTCTATGATACTGTAAAACAAGATTCAGAATTGTCCCTCCCAAAGGCCAGGAAAGAGGAGGGGTTTGCCACACAGCTCTAGCCCCGTATTAACTGAGAGTGGCTCTGGAAGCATAAAATGTTCCACACTTTTACCTGTATATAACAAAAATAACAAAACTGCCTGAAGATGATTTCCACAGGGGGCCAAGGAGATGTGCACTGTTACAACCATTCTACAGACATAGGAAGTGAGGCTCATAAAGAAATAAAAGGGGAAGTCCTTGCCCGAGAAATCAGGCAAGAGAAAAAAATAAAAGTCATCTAAATAGGAAAAGAGGAAGATGAATTGCCTCTCTTCATCAATGATATGACTCTAGAAAAGAACGCTAAAGATTTGACTAAAAGACTCCTAGACCTAATAAACAACTCCAGCAAAGTCTCAGGACACAAAATCCATGTACAAAAGTTGGTTGCATTTCTATGCACCAATAACGCTCAAACTGAGAGCCAAATCAAGAATGCAATCTCATTTTCGATAGTCACACACAAAAATGAAACACCTAGGAACACACCTAACCAAAAAAATGACAGATCTGTAAAAGGAAAACTCTAAATCCTGCTAAAAGAAATCATAGTTTGCTGGACGTGGTGGCTCACACCTATAATCCCAGCACTTGAGGAGGCGGAGGCAGGTGGATCACCTGAGGTCAGGAGTTTGAGACCAACCTGAACAACATGGAGAAATCCTATCTCTACAAATACAAAATTAGCCAGGCATGGTGGCACTTGCCTATAATCACAGCTACTCAGGAGGCTGAGGCAGGAGAACCACTTGAACCCAGGAGGCGGAGGTTACCGTGAGCTAAGATTGCACTCCAGCCTCAGCTCAAAAAAAAAAAAAAAAAAAAAAATCATACATGACAACATGGCACAAATAAATGGAAACACATTCTATGCTTTTGCATAGTATTTGCAAAAGTATCCTGTATTCTATGCAGGATTGGAAGAATAAATATTATTAAAATGTTCATTTTGCCCAAAGCAATCTACAGATTCAATGCTATCCCTACCAAATTACCAATGTCATTTTCACAGAATTAAAAAAATTTATTTTAAAATTAATATAGCACAATAAAGGGGCCCAAATAGTCAAGGAAATCCTAAGCAAAAAGAACAAAGCTGGAGGTACCACACTACTCAACTTCAAACTATACTATAAGCCTACAGTAATCAAACAGTATGGTACTGCTACAAAAATAGATACATAGGCCAATGGAACAGAATAGAGACCCCTGAAATAAAGCAGCACCCCTACAGCCACCAGACATTTGGCGAAGTTGACAAAAATTAACACTGAGGAAAAGGTACCCTATTCAATAAATGGCGCTGGGAAAACTGGCTGACCATATGCTGGAGAATGAAACTGGGCCCCTACATCTCACCATATACAAAATTACTCAAGAAGGATTAAAGACTTTAATGTAAGACCTCAAACTATAAAAAATCCTAGAAGAAAATCTGGGAAACTTTCTGCTGAATATTGGCCTAGGCAAAGCATTTATGACCAAGTCCTCAAAAGCAAACGCAACAAAAACAAAAATTGACAAATGAGACTTAATTACGCTAAAGACCTTCTGCACAGCAAAAGAAACAACCAATGGAGTAAACAGACGACCTACAGAATGGGGAAATATTCACAAACTATGCATCTGACAAAAGACTAATATCCAGAATCTATAAGGAACTTGAACAAATCAACAAGAAAAAAAACAAATAACCACATTACAATGAGGGCAAAGGACATGAAAAGAGACTTCTTAAAAGAAGACACACGAATGGGTAACAAATGTGAAAAAATGCTCAACATCACTAATCATCACATCATGATATATACCATCTCACACCAGTCAGAATTGCTATTATTAAAAAGTAAAACAAAAAACAGATTTTAGCAAGGTTTCAGAGGAAAGGGAATACTTATACAGTGTTGGTTGGTGGAAAGCAGTCTGAAGATTCCTCAAAGAACTAAAATAAAATTGCCATTTGACCCAGCAATCCCATTACTAGATATATACCCAAGGGAAAAGAAATTCTTCTACCAAGAGAATACCTGCACTAGTATATTCATTGCCGTTCTATTCACAATAGCAAAGACATGGAATCAACCCAGGTACCCACCAATGGTGGACTGGATAAAGAAAATGTGGTGGACCGGGCGCGGTGGCCCACACCTGTAATCCCAACACTTTGGGAGGCCGAGGCAGGTGGTTCACGAGGTCAGAAGATCAAGACCATCCTGGTCAACATCCTGAAACCCCATCTCTATTAAAAAAAAAATACAAAAAATTAGCTGGGCATGGTGGCGCATGCCTGTAATCCCAGCTACTCAGGAGGCTAAGGCAGGAGAATTGCCTGAACCCAGGAGGTGGAGGTTGCAGTGAGCTGAGATCGTGCCATTGCACTCCAGCCTGGGTAACAAGAGCGAAACTTGGTCTCAAAAAAAAAAAAAAAGAAAAGAAAATGTGGTACATATTCCCTATAGAATTCTACACAGCTATAAAAAAGAATGAAATTATGTCCTTTGCAGCCTCATGGATGTAGCTGGAGGCCATTTTCCTAAGCCAATTAATGCAGAAACAGAAAACCAAACACCGCATGTTCTCACTTATAAGTGAGAGCTGAACACTGGGCACACATGGACACAAAGATGGGAAAAATTGACACAGGGATTCCAAAAGGGGGAAGAAGAAAAAGGGGAAAGGGTTGAAAAATTACCTATCAAGTACTGTTTGCTACTTGGGCAATGAGATCATCAGAAGCCCAGACCTCAGCATCACATGCTATACACATGTAATAAACCTGCACACATAACACCTGAATCTAAAATACGTTTTTTAAATGAGAAATTTAAAAATGAAAAGTAAAAAAAGAAATACATTGCCTCTCACACTGATATTAGAGATCATGCAATAATAATAATACAACACCATTTTATGCAAAAGAACCAAAATAAATACATTTTAGTGTTAATAGGTGACTTGATCATAAGAACAAAGGCTCCATACACCCTTCTGCTTGCCTCAGAAGAGACATTTTCAGGGCAAGCTTTCTCTCTCTCTAAAGCCTTGAGGATGGGTGGGGAGGAATGTTACCTGTGATCTGTCCCAGCTGGCCTCTGAAGAGCTGTCCCACTTTGCCACCAACGTGGGCCCCCAGGCTAACACCAATGATGTGGATTGAGGATTTCGACACACCCAGCACCTAGAAGAGAAGGGACAGTGAGTTCCCCGTGGGCCACAGGGTCTGCTGGCTTCACAGGGCAGGCTTTCCCCACAAGCTTCAGAAGTCAAGGCCCTGGCATGACACACACACCGCACTTACTTTGGAGGGAAAAAGGACAGCACTCTCATCATTAATCACTTTTCCTCTTCCTGGGCTCCCCACCCTGATAACTCCTTTACTCTCCTTTTGGTGCCCAAAGTATGTGAGTAACAACCATGGCCATTCTCTCTTGAGGGGCAACTAAGTGCCAGACCATCTGCATTTGCTGTCTAATTTGCCATGACACATTTTACAGAGGAGCAGTGGGAGGCTCAGCATATTAAACCTCAGGACATTCAATTCAACCTGCCCAAGGTTAGCACTGTGAGTGGCAAGGTCAAGATTTGAACCCAAGACCACCGAGCCACCGAGTGACTCTGCTTCCACCCTAAGCCTCCTCAGGCAGTGCTTTGTCTTTCTGACCCTCTCTCCTCACACACAGCCCAAACTCACCCTAAGCTCTTCTGCACCTACCAGGAGTTTATCAAGGAAAAGGGAGATCTCGAGGCTCAAGTTAAACACATTTTTCACAGCTGAGAAGTAGATCCCTGTAGATCCATAAATCCAGTCCACGGCAATCACATTAGCATTCGCTGCACGCAGAAGGGTTCTAATGAATTTATCAATCCAGGAAGGCTTTGTTCCTAAGACCCTAGACAGGGGGCCAAAAAAGGGTGAAAAAATTACCTGTCAAGTACATATTTATTGTCATGGGAACCTCTGTTAATTGCAAACCCAGAAAAGAAGTCAAAATTAGACCAGGGGTTATATGAGGATTTTATTACACAGCACTTTGAGCATAGGGAGGACACAGTTCCAAAGTTGCCAAACCTTCTGCCAGCACATATGCAACCTTTGTGAAAATCATAAAACGGTGCCTTTTGTTCCAGGTAGATGCAGCCTCATGCCAGGGTTCATAACTCAGGTTGGATTTTAGCCCCACCAGACTTTTGTCAGGCACTTTTGCACAATGCATAAGCTATATAAACTGTATACATGGCATATAGGCTCATTCTTTGTGGAGTTTTTTTCTTTCTTTCCTTTCTTCCTTTCTCTTTCTTTCTTTTTCCTTCCTTCTTCCTTTTTTTCTCTCAGTTACCCATTGATTTATTCAACAAACATTTATTGAGTACCCATGGGCCAGGCAGTATGCTAGGTGCTTTCCAAAAAGTAAAGACAAAAAGGTGTAGTCGCTATCTTTCTGGAACTTACAGTATAATGGGACTTTTCTAGGAAAAGGAAAATGATAGAAAAATGTTTAGAAATCTTTCCCAACAGATCTGGATCAGGAAATACGATTTTTGATGGCTCCGGTATAGAAGCCAAGAGAGCACGCTCATGTGGATAGAGGAGCGGGGACTGAGCATGTGCCAGGGAATGGGGTTGCGGGATTTAGGAGCAGACAGAGTGACTGGCCTGATGAGCTTTCCACCTCTATTAGCTATCCCTGGGTTGGAGGTACATACTCAGCCTTGGAAAGTGGTCAAATGTAAGATTGGCTAGAGGAGAGGCTTTGACACAAGAGCAAGGAGAGATGCCTAAGGAAATATGTGGCTGAGTCCCTGGAATCCAGGGATCAGAGAGGTGGAGACATGCCAGAGATCAAGACCTGGTGGTCCTCTGTGCACTGCCTTTGTGTCTACCTTTTCATTGGATGCTCCCAACTCTACTTGACCTATGGTGCTGTTATTTTACCATATTCTCTCCATCTTTCCTCCCAGAAACCTTTCTCTGTTTCTGGCCCTATTGATGGCCTTTGGGGAAAAGATGTTCAAAGAAAGGATGGTGATTGAATTGAGACTTAATATGTGGACTGGGGGGTATCAGAGAAATTCAAGAGAAGTGTATAGCTCTGTCACACCTATAGCCTCTGGATATGATGGAAGTAGCACCCATAACTGGAAGTGTCTTAGGTCATAAAACCAGGGAAGAAGTGAAGAAGGGGAAATACAACCATGCTGTTAGTCCCAAGAGACTGTGAGAATCCCATGATGTCATTGTCTGAGATGAATCATGACATGCAACCCACGCTTCAGGGAAAAAATGACCACTGAGATCATTCCTACAACCTCCCCTTTAATTTGGATATGGAAACCAAGGCTCTGTATGGAGATTTGTCCAGAGTCACAGACATGTACTGCTTATGAGTGTGTAGACAAGACTGGGTGAAGGAGTAACGTATATGACCAATAAGAATGTACAGTATGTGTGCATGTTGACATGAGACCCCACCAAAGACAGCAGGACATGGGGATGGAACATGTGACCATAAGTAAATTCATTCTTCGTCTTGCTCCCCACTAACTGCTTATGGTGTTACGGTTACTTGATCTTAGCAGAGAGATCCTGTTGGTTGGTTAACTCCCACCTGAATCCATGGATAATTAGTTTGGTTCCCAGAGTGGCATTGAACCCAGAGTTTTGGAGGTCACTGCTTCCTTCCACTAGCTTCCCACAGCTAGGATTCGAAGGGACAAACAGGAGAAACTGGACTTTGAGGACGGTGCCTTCAAAAAGGTTGGCATTCTGGAAGTCAGCACACTTTGTCTGTGGGGTAGGAGGTGCATCCCCTAGAGGAAAACAAAACAAAACAAGAAACATCCAAGGTGAGGTCATCTGTTCATAAAAGGAAGAAAGACAACCTTGGAAGGAAACAAGAAACAGGGGCCTGCAGGCATGGGGTTTATTACGCAGCAGCTAGTGCAATAATCACTCAGTTATTACAGCCTGCATCACTTCTGTGATGAAGCTCTGTGAAGATTTTTCATGCCTAAGGACAAAATAGCAGAGAAGGAATATCGCTCAACTAGATGAGATTAAAGGCCATGGTGAAATGGCTGTTGTTATAGGCTAAACTGAGTCTCATATCCCAGAATGGATATGTTGAAATCTTAACCCCTAATACTTCAGAATGTGACTGTGTTTGGAGATAGGGTCTTTACAAAGGTAATTAAGTTAAAAGGAGGCCAGTGGAGTGGGCCTAAATCAGTATGACTGTAGTCTTTATATGAAGAGGAAATCTGGACACAGACAGAGGAAAGGGGTTTAAAGACCAAGGGAGACAGTGGCCATCTACAAGCCAAGGACAGGGGCTTGGAAAAGATCCTTTGCTCCTCGCCCTGAAGAAACCAACACTGCCGGCCTCTTGATCTCAGACCTCCAGGCTCCAGAACTGTGAGGCAATACATTTCTAGTGTTCGAGCCACCCAGTCCGTGGCACTGTTTATGGCAGCCCTAGCAAACTGGTAGAGAATTCTGAATAGAACCCTTGGCAGCCAAATGAACAATTGCCCTGGGGACTAGCCTCTACTCTGAACGCTCCATTCCAGAAGGATTTCCAACTCCCTAGCCCCACCTAATCACTTCTGGTCCTTATGAGCAGTCGAGAGCCCTGCCATAGCCTTCCAGTGCCCAGCCATGGCCTAGACAGATGGTAGCGAAGAGCATTAACAAGTCTCAGCTACTTCACAGCACCTTACAATAGATACCTTTACACTGGAAATTCTCTGGCCAATGTAACTGCAGGCCTTTGAAAAATACTGAACAGAGGCTGGGTGTGGTGCCTCACACATGTAATCTCAGCACTTTGGGAGGCCAAGGCAGGTGGATCACAAGGTTAGAAGTTCAAGACCAGCCCGGCCAACGTGGTGGAACCCCGTTTCTACTAAACATACAAAAATTAGCCTGGCGTGGTGGTGGATGCCTACAATCCCAGCTACTCGGGAAGCTGAGGCAGGGGAATTGCTTGAACCCAGGAGGTGGAGGTTGCAGTGAGCTGAGATCACGCCACGGAGCTCTAGCCTGGGTGACAGAGCAAGACTCTGCCTAAAAAAAAAAAAAAAAACTGAACAGAAAAGGCAACATGAAACTTCTGCTTCCCAGGGAGCTGAAAATCTGGCCCATTTTCAGTACCCAGCATCCCACCCCCACCCCGACTTCTGTGATGCAGAGATGTGGTCCCTGACTCCCATACATCCCACAGGGAGACTGGCAGGAGCAGCAGCGTGCACACTGACCCACAGAACACAAGCCCATCATGGCCCTAGCACTGCTGACACCAGACAAAGTGATTCACAGAATCAGAGGTTCAGAGGAGAGGTCAGATTACTGATTTTAGTTTATGTGGCCCCCTTTGTCGAGGAAGACATTAACTTTAGGTTTCTGGAGTGATTATCTGCCATCAGAGGTGACTGGGAGCCCATATATAACAGGAGTATGGATCTGGGATGCTCTAGGATATGGTGCTATGAGTGGATTGTGGGAACCCCACCTGTGGAGAATAACTCAAGCCACGAGGCCTTCTGGATCATCACTGCTTCTGAGCCCCAGACTTTGTCCCCAGTCTCCTCGAAGAGCCAGACCAAGCAGGCAGGTTTGGAGGCTCCTGGGATGAAGCCCACTCTGAGAGTACGGGCCCTAAGCTCTTGAGCCTGCAGCTTGAACTCCCACAGCAAATGAGAGGGCTAATGCCTGACTCCACCATTTTATCAGCCTCCCCCAGCATTTCGCTCTTTAAAGAAAAGATGAAAGGACTGTGCTTCAGCATGAGACATGAACCACATCAATGAGTAAATTTGCTCTATTGATCATATAGGGCAGCCTGCATCCATCAGAGAGTTTGAGTCCTTTTAAAAGAGCATATGATGTCACAAAGCAAGCCCAAATAATCATCAAAGAATCAACATCATCTAAACAAAACGTAATAAAACTAGAAATCAATAACAAAAATTATTTTAAAATACATTTGGAGATGTAAAAACACCCCCTCTGTTTTTTCCACTAGGATAAGCCCAATCCCATGTGCCTGTGGTATTTTTACCAGCCCACACAAAGAGGAGCTTCTGGGCACAATTCCTCATGGACATATATTGCTGAAGCTTGTTCAAGATTTTAAAAATGTTTATATTGAGGTAAAATATACATATATATATAATCATCTTTACTTTTTAAGCATACAGTTCAGTGGTAATAAATACATATATATTCTTTTTTCCCTTTATTCCCAACTCCTCTCTCCTTCTCAGCCTCTGGGAACCACCAATCTACTCTCTATCATTATGAATCCACTTTTTTAGCTCCTGCATATGTGAAAAAGTGATATTTGTCTTTCTGTGTTGGCTTATTTCACTTCACATAATGGCCTCCAGTTCCACTCATGTTGCTGCAAACGACAGGATTTCCTTCTTTTTTTTTTTGAGACGGAGTTTCGCTCTTGTTACCCAGGCTGGAGTGCAATGGCGCAATCTCGGCTCACCGCAACCTCCGCCCCCTGGGTTCAGACAATTCTCCTGCCTCAGCCTCCTGAGTAGCTGGGATTACAGGCACGCGCCACCGTGCCCAGCTAATTTTTTGTAATTTTTAGTAGAGACGGGGTTTCACCATGTTGACCAGGATGGTCTCGATCTGTTGACCTCGTGATCCACCCGCCTCGGCCTCCCAAAGTGCTGCGATTAGGATTTCCTTCTTTTTAAAGGCTGAATAGTATTCCTTTGTGTGCATACTCCACATCTTTCTTTTATTATTATTCATCTGTTGATGGGCTCTTAGGTTGGTTTTATATCTTGGCTATTGTGAACAGTGCTGAAATAAACATGATATCTCTTTGATATACTAATTTCCTCTCCTTTCTTTTGGATATACACCCAGTAGTGAAATTTCTGGATCATATGGAAGTTCTATATTTAGTTTTCTGAGGAACCTCCATACTATTCTCCATAGTGGCTACACTAATTTACACTCCCACTAACAGAAAAACACCCTTTCAAAGTTTTAAGCAATGAATAATCACAATGGAAACTACAGAATATTGAAAACTAAATGACAATAAGACCAGCACATGCCAAAACTTGCAAAGAGTGGCTAAAACAGCACTTGGGTTGTTAAAATAATGACTTGGCAAGCCATTAGACTGAGGCAGCTCTAGTGCTTGAGTTGCTACAGAAAGTAACCGAATCGCAGATCATACTGAAGAGTTGTATCCGAGGAGACTGAGGCTTAAGCTTTACCACTCAGAAGCTGCCAACTAACCTCTGATGAGGGACCTTAAGGTACTGCTCCACTTTAATCAAATATTTCTTTGCCTTTCTCCATATGCACCTTATAAAATTTCTTCCTCACCCACCTTTGGTGGAGGCCTGAGACACTTGCTGTGTGAAGCTGCCCAATCCATGAATCACCATTTGTTCAACTAAACTCTTTAAAATTTTAATGTCCCTAAGTTTATCTTTTAATTGGGAGCAATGTCTAACCTTACATGCAAATGTTGGGGGGGGAAAGGAAAGATTTAGATTAGATAAGTTAATATTTTAACTCAGAAAAGAATACCACAGTAATTCCAAATAAAATATAAGGAAAGAAACATAAAGGTAATAGTTGAAATTGAAGAAATAGAAAATAAGGAAATATCAGCAACATGGATAGCAACATAGTCATTACAGTTTCTCAGGCCTTGCAAACTTGCCTGGGATATCTCTGACTCTTCTCTCTCTCTCACATTCCACATACAATTGGTAAGTTCTGTTGGCTTGACCATCAGAAGAAAATATTCAGAATCTAACCCTTCTCCCCACTTTGGTCCAAGCCACCATCATCTCTCACAGACACTGCAACTGCGTTTCTTGCCCTCTCGGCCCCTTCAGTCTATTTGCAACATAGCAGTCATGATTTTTTTTTTTTTTTTTTTTTGTCAGTCATGTTACATCTTTGTGCAAAAGTCTCCAAGCCTTTCACTCAGATTGAAACCTGAAGTCCTAACAATGGACTGTAAGGCCCTAGCTGAGCTAATCCACCCCACTCCAAGAGTCCTCTGCTTTATGCTACAATCACTCACTGTTTCAGCCAGTTGTCCTTGCCCTGCCTCACTCTAGATTGCCTCCTGCCTGAGGTCTTTGCCCAGCTAGCTGTTCCTTTTGCCTGAATGCATTTCCCCCCCACATCTACATGACAGCTCCTTCCCTTCCTTTAAATCTCTTCTTGTCAAGTGCTCTCTTCTCTACTCTCAGCACCCTATTTCAGTTGTAACTTGCTTGTGTTCCCAACCTCATTTCTCTCAATCTTTCTTACCCTCGTCTATTTATTTGTATAGCAATCATCACCTTCTAATCTACTATGGAATTTACCAACTTATTATACTTACTGTCTTTTGGTAGTTAGTCCACATTAGAATGTACTTTTGAACAAAGCGGAGATTTGTTAAATCCATTTTGTTCACTCTATTGCCTAAAATAAAATCAACAGATGAGCAGAAAGAAAGAACACTTGACAAAATTCAGCACTCTCTAATGTAAGAAAGGATATCTACTAAAACCCTATAGTAAGGATCAGATTTACTGGGAAACATTAAAAGTAGTCTATCTAGTACTGGGAACAGATAAGAAATGTCTGCTATCACTGCTTCTGTTAAATATGGTGCTGGAGGTCCTAGTCCTAACCACTGAAACAAGACATTTTATCCCATTTATCCTATAATGGGATAAAAGTTACAAAGTTGGAAAAGGGAGAGAAGAAAATCGTCAATGTTTGAAGCTGATGAAACAGAGAATCATATTCGAATACTGCCTCTACCTAGCCA